AAAAAAAAAAAAAAAAAAAAAAAAAAACATAATAAGGAGCATACCTTCGACATGGGGGGGAGGGGGTGTGGGGGGCCCGGAGGCCTCCCTCCCCCACACTTGAACATAATAAGATCCATACCGGGAAAAAAAAAGACATGACATCAGACAAACAAGCTTTATACCTGAACCCGAAACTGCACCCCTGACTCTAAGAGTCGCGCCCCCACCTCCTCGCATACCAGAGAAACCAGTGTATACATGGGAGGAAGGAGGTGTGGGGGAGACCAAGTCAGCGTGCATGAAACCAGGCCAACGTGGGGCTGCCGTACCGCAATAACTTTCGATAAACAGCCGGAAAAAAAAAAAACAGCTGCAACACTTGAACATAACCGCAAATTGCTAAACCCCACAGCCTAGCAGTCCGTTGACATTTGCCACACCACCTGCTGATTTGAGGGGCGGGCCCCTCCCCCACAATCGAGCATCACTTGCCAGTTACATAAGTTCAAGGATGTTAGTAAAACACTGTATTTAGATGAGCTTAGGGTGTCCTAGGGCCTAGAGCAAAGAGATCCTTGATCGTCCAAGATTGCCTCACGGACTGCCTCTCTCTTTCTTCCTTCGACAACACTCGAACAAAGCACAAACATAGACATAGTGCGGACATAGCACAGAAGAATGTGGGCACTTTTATAACATAATGGAATGTGGTCCCCATACAACCTACCCGCCCCTTTCACCCAACCACCCCTCTGCCCACTTACCTACCCACGCACCCACACTCATTGAGCACCTACCTTGTTCTGCAACAGGTTAAACATAGCATAAACATAGCGTACAACACAAACACAAACACAACACAAACACAGCACAAACACAGCACAAAAATAGCACAAACATAGTATAAACATGTCGCGCAAATATATCACAAACACAACACAAACATAGCACAAACACAACACGAACACAACACAAAAATAGCACAAACATAGTACACACAAGGCTTGAACACAAAACCTGCATAGCACAAACAAGGATCGAACACATAGACAAGCATAGGAGAAATACAGCACGAGCACACACGGCATGAACATAGCACAAACATAGCACGTAGGAGCAGGATCCTGTTATAGGAGCCCTCTCCCCCCCCCCCGCCCGCCGATCCACCCACCCGTCCACTCACTGAGGAAGTGCCTCATTCCGCCATGGGCTGCAGAGAGCACAAACATAGCATGTACACAGCACCAACACAACACAAGACATAGCACACGACATAGCGTAAACATAACACATGATAAGATAGCACAAGACGTAGCACAAACAAGGCTCGAACATAAAACTTGTACAACTAGGAAGGTCTCGACCATCCGGGCAAGGCTTTCTGATCGGGTAACGTACAGCTAAGAAAGGCTCAACCATCCTTTGAACAAAACAGACCGTTTTTCAGCAACGCTTCCTGATTGGGTAATTGCCGCTAGGAAGGCTTCAGACATACTGTGCAGAAATCAGACACTGGGATTGGATGGAGAGATGGACAACTAGAGCTTAGGCTTCGTCCAACTACCCTCTACACCCGAATAAGGGCATGCTCAGCTCTGGACGTGATTGGAGTCAGATTCATTTAGGTCAGGCTGCAATTGCAGTCAGACGCTTCAACATAACGAGAAGCATACCTTCGACATGGGGGGGAAGGGGGTGTGGGGAAGGGGGGGCTCCCGCCCCCCTCCATACCGGAAAAAAAAAATGACATGACATCAGACAAACAAGTTTTATACCCGAACCCAAAACTGCACCCCCGACTCTGAGAGCCGCGCCCCCACCTCCTCGCATGCCACACAAACCAATGTATTCATGGGGGGAAGGAGGTGGGGGGGAGACCAAGTCAGTGTGCATGAAACCAGGCCAACGTAGGGCTGCCGTGTCACAATAATATGGTGTGGGTGATGAACATGGTATACATGGGGGGGGAAGGAGGGGCAGAGCCCCACCTCCCCCACACTTAAACATAACTTGAGAAAAGGCAAGTTTTATATGTCTAATCTATAAAGGAAAAACAAATGTCCCCTAATCTATACATGGGGGAAGAGGGGGTGTGGGGGAGGGGGCGGAGCCCCCCCTCCCCCACACTTAAACATAACTTAAGAAAAGGCCAGTTTTATACCCTGGGCTCGACATAGATAAGGGGTGCGGAAAATGCAGCAACACTTTATACCCTGACACTCGACATCAATAAAGGGAAAACAAATGGGGTGTCTACAAAAAAGCGAGTTTGGAACGCCCGGCATGAATACCGCGAGCAAACCAGTCCCCCCTTCCCCTCACAGGAGGAAAAAAAAAAAAGGTCTACACTTGAACGCCACCTTCCTCCGCTTCATTGAAGAAAAAAAAAAAGGGTTCGCGGGAAGACAGGAACGCCCCCTCCCCAGCAATTGTGCATGGCACCGCTGCGGCGTTTCACAAGAAGACAACTTCTGGCCCTGGCTGCACTTGCTTGAACTTTTTCCGCTGTCTGAACAATGACCAAAAGTCGACCAGCCGGTTCCAAACTAGCCCCTTCTTCGCACCCCGTCATCCGCACCCCCTCCCTCCCGCACTTCGACATGGGGGGAAAGGGGGTGTGGGGGAGGGGGGCCGGAGCTCCCCTTCCCCCACACTTAAACATGACTTAAGAAAAGGCAGGTTTTATACCCAAAGCCAAAGCCCGGCCTGCGTTAGGGAACTTGGGGTTATCGCATACTGCTGCCACCCATGGCGTTTCTTAGAGGTGGACCCCACCGGACGGCGGCTGGAAAACCCGCGAGGCCATAAAAAACGGCCCACCGTCGTTGGAACGTGTTTGGCAGATTTTGTTGGCACCCCATCGCGACCACAAACTTTGGCATTGGAAATGGCCGCGCTTGCCCGAATAGGGAAACTTGAAAGGCCAGGTCCGAAATA